GGTGTCTCCACCCGCCATTTTCCCTCTCCCCTCAGAGCGCGGGCGGCGCTCGGAGCCGCCCCATCGGGGAGTGGTTCCTCTGCGTGTCCCCGCTCACATATCCCGGGTGAGGAGGTAAACCGAGGTGGGAATGCGCCCGGGTGAGCTTGGGTAGATGCCTCCGTGAGCGGGTTAAAGTGGAGCTGCGAGGGGGTGAAGCCCCCGAAGGGGTAGAACCGGCGCGTCGTGGCCTTCCTAGGCCTCGCCCGGGCCCCTCAATGGGGTCTTGGAGGTTCATAACCCTTCATCTTGGGGGGGTTTTGGGGGCACAGCCGGAGCCCCGGGGGGGTTGGTACCTCCAAGGTGGGCTCAGCAGGAGGCTCAGGGGCTGAATTGCCTGGTCAAACGCAGGTGCTTAACCCACCGAGTTTTCAGGGGTTAAAAAAGGGGAGATGAAAGCCCTGCGGGTTGTTTTTGGGAGCGGGGGGGGGCTTGAAAATTCCTTCATTGCCTCAGAAGCTTCAGTGCTGTGTTTTCAGGAGTGGAAAAGAGAGCCCAAGTGCTGGGTTTGTTTGCCTTGAAAGCGGAGCCTCAGTGCTCTCCGTTCAGAAGCTTGAGTCCTGTGTCTTTCAGGGGTTCAGAACAGGCTCATGGGGCATGAAAGTTCGGTCCTGTCTTTTCCAGGCTTGAAGAAGCCGTGGGGGTCAGAAACGGGCACACTGGGCACCTTCACACAGAGCCAAGTCCTGCTAAAACCACACACATGTGGCCAGTGCTGGGATTCACAGAGTCTGCATGTTTGGGGGGCTCAAAATCGGGCTCTCTTGGCCAGTGTTAAAGCTGAGAAGCAGCCCAAGTCCTGTGTTTTGGGCTCAGAAACAGAGGTGAAGTCCTGCATGTTGGGGGCTTGAAACCAGATTGGGTCAAATGGGGGTTTTTTTTGGCTCACAGAGACTTAAGTCCTGTGTTTCGGAGTCATGACACCAGGCTTGTTTGGAGGCTCAGAAACATGAAATCCTGTGCTCTGAGCTCTTGGAACCAGGCTCATTTGGCCAAGCTACAGGGCTTAGATGTGGAGACCAAGCCCCTTGTGCTTGGAAATAGACTGAACTCCTGTGTCTTAGGGCTTAAAGCAGAGTCCCAAGTCCTGTGTTTTGGGGCTTGAACACTGGGCTCATCTGTGCAGCCTCAGAGCAGAGCCCAAGCCCTGCATTTTGGGGTCTTGAAATGGGTCTCAGTGCTTGGGCTCCCAGCCCATGTCCTGCGTTTAGGGGCTGGCACAGAGTCCTGACCCCCCTGTGGGTCAGGGCACACAGAAGGGGGGCCAAAAAGTTGGAGATAAGTCTGTTGATTCAAGGTACAACCACCATTCAAGACTGGGACCAGTGATGACACTTCATGTGTGCTTGGTGACAGTGAGTGATTGACAACTTGGGCTAAAGCCAAGAGGGTTTGAAGAAGCACCAGCTGAGAGGGGCTGGAGCAGAACTGGGGAGGGGCTGGAACCACAAGGAGCTGGAACCCAGTTGGCACTGGAGATGGGCTGGAGCCCAGTTGGTGATGGAAATGAGCTGGAACCCAATTGGCAATGGAGATGAACTGGAACCAACTGGGGAGATAACTCTGGACTGGTTCTGAAACCAGCTGGGGTCCAAACCACACTGGAAGCAGGAACCATCTGGACCTGAAACCAGAGCAGAAACAAAGTGGTGCAGGAACAAACAGGAGCCACAAATGAGCTGGTTCTGAAATTAATGGGGGCAGGAAGAAATGACCTGAAGGTGCAAACGAGCTCCAGCCAGAGATGAACAGCAGCTGGAGCTGCAACCACATGGAGGCACAAGGGAGCTGGCACCATCCATGAGCTGGACCTGAACCCAGAGCAGAAACAAACACGAGCCAGAACTGACCTGGGGCCATCCAGGAGCTGGGCCTGAAAAAACAGGGGCACAACCAACCAACCTGAAGCTGCACATGAGCTGGAACCACAAGGCCCTGGTGCTGCAAACGAACTGGAGCCTTCAGGGGCAGGACCTGGAAGAAGCAGGAGCTGAACTGACAAGCTGAACTGACAACCCAAAAACAAGAGCCCAAAAGAACCAGGGGCCCAACCCAGCAGCTGTGTGGGTGCTCACAGAGCAGCCAGGGCAGCCCCTCTGAATGGGATTTACTCTTGATAGCAGCTGTTGAGTGCCCCAAACAGCAGCAAACCGGTGTGTAACTGAAGAGCTACATAATACACATGGTTGCCAGAGGTGTAACACTGGGTGTAAATTATATACTGTGTCTGTCTCTGAAATATAAATAGCTATATAAACAGAATGGCTGGGGTGCCAGGCAGGACAAGCCTCCCTGGCTGCCTTCAGCCCTCAGCAGGACCCCCAGCCCCTCACCTCTCACAGAAGGGCCCTCAGCCCCGAGGGTCTCCTTGGCACAGGATTCCAGCTTCTTCCCAGCGCTCCACACCCCACGGGGCTCCTCTGTCCTTCTGTCTGTCCTGCGGGGGGAGAGAGGTGGGACACTGAGCACCCAGCCCTGCACGGGGGCAGGACCTGGGCCGGGCTGGGGGAGGAGGTTCCAGTCCTCCTTCAGCCTCCCCACAGGGGCCTCTGCTCCCAGTGCATCGTGTTTGGAGCTGGAAAAGAGGGTTTTCCGTCAATGCCGGGCCCGGGGGGGCAGGGCAGGTCCCCGGCAGGGGCGGAACGGAGGGAGTGGCCCCGCTTTGCCCATTTTTTTTTGCCCCGTTTTCACGCCGGCTCCATCCCGGGAGCTCGGGAGGCACCACCGGCCCCAAAGTTCCGCCCCTCGGAGCCTCCGGGAATGCGGTCGGTGGGGATGGGATCGGTCTGAGGGGCCCACCAGCGCCTGCTCCCGGTGGGATCTTCCCTCTGGGATCCCCTAGGTGGGATCCTCCTGCTGGGATCCCCCTAGGTGGGATCCTCCAGGTGGGATCCTCCAGGTGGGATCCTCCAGGTGGGATCCTCCAGGTGGGATCCTCCCACTGGGGTCCTCCAGGTGGGATCTTCCCCATGGGATCCTCCAGGTGGGATCTTCCCCATGGGATCCTCCCGGTGGGATCCTCCCGCTGAGATCTTCCTGGTGGGATCCTCCCACTGGGGTCCTCCATGTGGGATCTTCCAGGTGGGATCCCCCAAGTGGGATCCTCCCGGTGGGATCCTCCTGCTGGGATCCTCCCCATGGGATCCTCCAGGTGGGATCCTCCCGATGGGATCCTCCAGGTGGGATCCTCCCGGTGGGATCTTCCCGGTGGGATCCTCCCGCTGAGATCTTCCTGGTGGGATCCTCCCACTGGGGTCCTCCATGTGGGATCCTCCCACTGGGGTCCTCCATGTGGGATCTTCCAGGTGGGATCCCCCAAGTGGGATCCTCCCGGTGGGATCCTCCCGCTGAGATCTTCCTGGTGGGATCCTCCCACTGGGGTCCTCCATGTGGGATCTTCCAGGTGGGATCCCCCAAGTGGGATCCTCCCGGTTGCCCCTCTGGCCAGGAGGGCGGGATTGGGATATGAAGGGAACCCCGCACCTGCGAGGCTGGAAAACGGGTGGGAAAACAGCCTCTGGGCTGGGCGGGGGGTGGGAATGGGGTTGGGAATGAGGCGGGAATTTGGGAAGCGCCGGGCGCGGTGATGGCGAGGAGGAGCTGCAAGGACCGTGGCGACACGCGGACACTTTCCATCACCCCTTTATTGAAGCCGTTGCTGGGTTTTTTAGCCCCCCCAGCCCCCGGAACCAGCCGGTGTCCTGCCCCGGGACCCGCCCGGAGGAACCTGGGACTCCCGCAAG